CCTCCATAATTTTTAAAAGTGGGAAGGGGTCCTGGGAGAAATAGTTTAAGAAACACTGGTATAGAGGATTCATCACAGCAGAGGACAGCACCTGGCCGACCTTGGCTTATCTTGAAAAAAGACAACAAAAATTGGACCAGCTTAGTGCTTGGATGGAAGACTACCCCAAGATTCCCCAGACTGGGAAATTGAAATGCATCCTGAAAGAAAGGAATGGCAAATCACTTTTGTACTATACTGTACCCATGGAGTCACCATGAGTCCATTTCAGCTTGAAGGGATCTTTTCCTTTCATGGAGTATTATTTCAGTTTAGCTTCATAATAGCCATATCAGGTAGGTCAGGTTCCAAGAGGAAGTGACCTATTTATTATATCATATTAAAACTTACACATTATAAGCAGAAATCAAATATATTTATTTACTGCATTTCTACCCACCATCATCCCGAGAAAGAAAAAATGGTGGTGGTAGATTTTTTTTAAAAAAATACAGAGTGCAAATATTCAGTGTATATTCATAGTACGCCTTCCAGAACAACTTCATTTTCAGTACTATCCAGAAGGCAAATGGGGTGGGTTGTGAAAGGCAATAAAAATTCACTAGACATTTCTGTCTCAGTACCTGGAGGCTGCTGAGGTCTGGATGGGAAGGAACGGGCTTCAGCTTAACCCTAGCAAGACAGAATGGCTTTGGGCGTTAGGGCCTCCTGGGTCTGGTGATTTTCCATCCTTAGTTCTGGGTGGGTTTGCACAATTCTCAGGTCCTCCTGGACAAACAGCTCCTATTTAAAAAGCAGGTAGCAGCTGCGGCCAGGAGGTCCTTTGCACAACTTTGTGTTGTATACCAATTGTGTCCCTTCCTGAATGAAGAGGCACTGTACATGCTTTACTCACCCTCCTGAGTGGATTGCCACAATATGCTCTTCCTGGGGCTGCTCTTGAAGAACATCAGAAGCTTCAGTTGATTCAAAATGAAGCATCAAGAGCAATTATACGTGTATCTCATGATGTCCAGCATACCGCCCAAGGTCTGGCTGGCCCAACTCCGCTCACGTTGCAGAAAGCCTTGAAGACCTGGCAGTTTTTCCAGGCATGGAGGCCAGGAGAGTAATTGACCTCATGCTGTTGGTGAATGGTGTTTTCAGGAGCTACGTGGTGTTAGTTAGCTAGGAATGGTATGTATATATTATATTATGCTTTAATTGTTCTTAGCCACCCAGAGTTGCACTGATGAGACAGGCAGTCATATAAGTCAATATAAATAATTAAATAAATAAATAAACCTCCAGATTTTGAGAATTCCTTCTACTGATGGACCTTCTAACCAGATACATGAATCCAGGAGCCACCACAATGCTGCTGGTCTGCAGTACTCTGGGGCATTGTGGGACATCAAAATGGCAGTCCCTTGTCCAGGAACATTTCCAAAAAGAAAGTTCAGGGTTGGTGTCAGTGAAGAGGCCTTGTATTGACAGTTGCTTCTGGATGCCCCTTAAGGGTGTCCCCCAGCCTGATATTTAGCTGGAACTGCTCAGCTGATTATTACAAAACCTCCTATTTATGCCTTCAGGATGGAAAGAGACGCAGCTTTTGTGCAAAAGAAGGCCGGACGAGCTGTTGTGCGGGTTCACTTGCGAGAGAAATACAGACTTCCAAAGGCAAGACCTCTGTGAAAAATAACATTTATACATACATACACTTGAGAACATATAGCATTCAGGTAACTCAGTGTTCCTCAACCTCAGCGACTTTAAGATGG